ATCGGTTGGTCGTAAGCCGACGGCAGTAATCGTTCTTTTTTTCAAAACAATCCAGCATTTACAAGGTAACCACCGTCCGCGTAGATGTATTATTAAATGTGTAAATGAATATTTCTGTGCAAACGGTGTCGCGTGAACACGTATGCTCAAGATAGGTTTAATAGCAAAACAAGCGCGGAGCAAAGCCCGCGAGTTGTGTAATGAAATTGCGTTAACCTTACCGGTTTCAACTTGACAAAAGGCTTTTTCTAATTCTTCAGAAAGCGAATAGTAGCGTCAACATTACCTCTATGTGTGGCTCCTTTCATAAGGTCTCATTTTGTTCATTGTTAAAAGATCCTCCTTAGAAATTACCCAAAGCAGTCGTTAACCCGGTTTAACTCGTTGCTCCTTCTAGACTTTTCAAAATTTTGTCTTAGAGGTATGATACTTTCTATCTTCTGCTCCACTCGTCTTCGGACTTCATCATTCGCTTAAGGATGTTTTTGGTGTGCAGTTGACGTGATTCCACGTGTAAAGCATATTTTCGGGCAGCCTCCTACGCTAGATATTTTCGATGGTGCGCACCACATCATCTCCATCTTCTAAGCTGCATAGCACACAGCTGTTCACAGAGTTTTTCATTTTCCGAACCGCGTATCTTTAAAATTACCTATGTTCAGAGAAAGTCTGGGCGAGGTAATAGGACATCTTCCAAAAGGGTCTATCATACTGCTTTGCATAGTCTTGATTAGCCTTTTAATTTTTTCAGCTCGTATGTTACTCCATGATCGGATCCTTCAATTGGGCTGATTCGGTCCGTACTGTATTTGTTTAGAGTAGATTTTCGTGCAGAAGTAACATCTTATGCTTCATCCAGCGCTGACCGCACCCGTTTATCTGCTAAGAGATAGTATCGTTCTTACAATTATTTGCGGAGCTTTTATCGAAATGGTTTCGTAAGCCCTAGTCATCCAGATGACGGTTGCTTTTTGGGCCGACGACAAGGCCTTTTTTTACGTTCAGAACTCTGTCCGTCTATACAGGACAGGCATAAAGCGGTGTATGTTTTATTATTGCAGCCAATGTTCTTCCAGTACATTTCTCGACGCTTCGAGCTTTTGCAAGTTTGATGGCTGCTTCCGCGTGTTCAACATGCGCCAACCCAGTGAGTCGTGGATCGATAATAACCGCCAAGTATTGTCCTTCTTTCTTTGGGGAAATTCACACGTTTCCCAGCGTGAGAAGGAGGCTACCGCTCAGCTTCTCATCTTGAAAGTGTTCTTGGCATCTAGCAGTGTAAACAGAACGAATTTTCAATATTTACTTATGCGCCGCACTCAGCACCCTTTCAGTCGGCCTGTAGATTTTCCATTTTAAAACCGACGGGAAATTTGACAGCATCTGCTTCTGGCGAGTCTTTTCCCGCGGTGTTCCCACCAAAATATTCGCCATTAAAAGCTGTTGTGTTGAGAAAACACAGTGGTCTCTACGACAAATCACCTGGCTTAGGAATCAAGGTGAGTTTCGCCTTTTTTGAAATTCTAGAAAATTGCTTTTATTTAGAAGCCTGTTTGCTATTTTTCTAAAAAAAAAGTCTGGCTATCTTTTGGTTAAGAATTTGATAGCGCCCGAAGCACCACGTTAAGTCCTAGTGCCTTCTCCGATGGTAGCCCTAACCTTGCTTCCTTCACTTATTCTATCGTTACCTCCAGAATGTCTTGGTCATCGATTTATATACCGTCCTTTTCTTTCGAAGCTTGCGTTGAAAAAGAGGAATACGACCATTTCTTTTATGGCATCAGGCAACAATCTGGGAAGACATCTCTGCGGCGTATTTCCGACGACGCGGTACGAAAGCCCTCAATTGTCGGTTTGTTCTGCATTTTCTAGTTCCATCCGGTTGCTTGTTTCTTTTACTGCGGTTGTTAAGCTTCCTTATGTGTATTCTTGCCACTTTAGGCTCTTCTTGCTTTTGTCATATTTCCTTTTTCTCCTTTGATCCGTCAACTCTTCCCCAGGAAGTATCTCGTTCCTCCATGCCTAGATCTCTCGGCTCAGTCTGTGTACGTGCCTCTATGTGGATATGCTTTGCCTTGCTCGCAGTTCTTCGATGCTCTCGTAGGCTTGACTAGAGCCTTTGTTAAAGCCTTGCTCACGTTTTAGTAAATTTAGCTTCCTCATTTGCCACCTGGTTCCCTTCTGAGGCGGTGAGTTTGTTTTTACGTTGTACATCTACTTCAATTTATTCTTTTTTCGTTCACTTTACAATTGCTCAGAGAGGCAAGAGGCTCGTTCTTTGCGATGCTAAGTTCAACGAACATCCTGTACTGGCGACGAGCTCAAAGAATCTACTCTTGAGAAAGTGGTTGTGGCCTCGCCATTGATCATTGCCAGATCATATTCTATTATATCGCGCAGGAGGATTTGGCCCCTTGCAGTTGTGCTTGCGCCCACCGTACTACCCCGTAAGAATCTAAATGATCTACTCCTTAAAAATACCTCAAGTGGTCGTTAGGCCAAATCTTTGCATTCATAGCCTCTTTTTGTTTCGCCAATATACGATGTCGGGTTGTGCAAGATAAAAGCGCGTTTGCCTACAATGGGCGCGTAAGTTCGGTTTTTTGTAATCAAAGAACTTACGCTGCACAGCATAAAAGCGAAACGTATATTTGCCTCTGCTGACAGATTTGAGCATGGCGTAAGTTCGTAAAATTTTTCATGACGTATTATGCTATTAGAAAATTGGAGGCGCAGATAGTAACGAGCTTCCTAAGGCATAAAATCCATGAACGGTATTAGGGCGCTACGAAGAACGTAATGATGATTTCCGGCATATATGTCCAAGCAGACGGTGCTTTAATTAATCAACGGGGCCACAGGAAGTGATGATTTTCGAAATCAGCTTAACTTTTCAAAGCAGAAATGTCTAGGTGTAAACTGGCGTATTTATCCAGTCTGATCCAAAAAAGTAAGCGCTTAATTTTTTAATTTAGAAAAAAGAAACACTTTTTGAAATGGGTTTTCTGAGGATATGAAATCGCCCAAAACCAATCCTTTAGCAATAAACAATAATGTCTGTGGCTCTGTTGCGTTCAGTGTACCAACTGGCAGACACGAGCAACGCACGCTACTTTTTACTTCTACATCAAAAACATAATGAAGCAGAACAACGACATTGCGGTAATGCGAAGTCTGCTGACAACGACGCATTTAGGCCCCCGACAGGTGCGGGGTTAGGCTGTATTTGTTTCATTTCACAATAATGCTTTCCATTGTGTCACCTGGATTGAAAACAATCAGTCGCAGGATCGATAGGATCAGTTGCTATGATCAATCAGTATGAAATCAGTTAGATTCAACGCCCAACGCACTGGCTACTCCTGAATGTGCGATGGTTTTACAACACAAGAAACAATATCTGCAAGAGTAAATAATTCATAATAGATACGATATCAGTATATAGAATGGTCTGAATGGAAACATTTAGCTATTAAAGAAGGCATGAATGTATTTGAGGGCAACTATTTTCCGAATCAGGTTAGAGATGACGCTGACTCAAAGACATACTATTGCACACTTGGTTGAGAGTCGAAGCACCATTTAAATACACAAATGCCGGCGAATCCTTTATGATGATATTTCGATAGGCCAAAATTGGAGTCATTACGAATGCCCCCTTATTATCGGAGAATAAAAGGAACATTATAGTGCTAAGAAGTAGATTCAGTGGTGAGATGTTTGTTAATTAGTACGACGTTGAGCACGCTTATCGTAACGGTCGTGCCTTCGACTAGATTTTTCTGGCATAGTATCTGGCACTTACTCAAGAAATCGATTGTATTAAGTATGGCTTTAAATCGAGATAATCAAATGCTCCACCCCTTTTGTATACGTACAGTTCTAGGCTGGTAACAATCTGCTATGTACTCTGCAATTGAGAGCTGTACGTGTTTATCTAGCACTACTATGCCAAAGCAAACAATATTGGCATTAAATGTCTGCAACAATCGCAGATTACGATCTACAGCAGTCACATAGCCTATGTAATGAAATATCAATCGAATATTAGTAAGAACAACAACAACGGTTAACGCTACGCTATTGGGCTAATGTTAGATAGTGATTCAGCACAACAACCCTCTCTTGGCCCCCCGAATTAAGTTCAATCAGTCGAATGCAACAGAAAATTTGCAACGAAGTGAGAAACTTTTTCGTTTCATGTCACTTGACAAAACCAATTGAATAAAGCTTTGTCAACCAAAAGTTCTAAAAGCGTTTGTTGAGTCTGTACTGCAAATGATATTTCTCAACACAAATGCTGAATATCAACGGTTTATGATAAATGATGCAAGATCAAGCAAAGTTACTTCAGTATTCTTCAGTCTGGCTCTGCTTCTGATTTTAAGCGCAAGAAAATGTAGACTAAACGATGGTCTATCTAAGGTTCGAAGACCAAGACCTTGTCGTTAGACGCAGTCGCGAGTGTACTTCGCCTGGAAGTTTCCACCATTGTTGTTGTTGTTGTTGTTGTTACTACTAAATGAGTGAGAATCCTCCGTTAATCCTCGTCGGCTGATGCGTACCCACTATCTGCCTAGTAGACCACCTATATTGTTGTGTTACTGCGATTGTTTTTATCGTCGCATTCTGTTTGGGTTCATGTTACTGTTCGTCGTTTGATCTGGCTGCTGTTGGAGGCTGCACAAAAACCTCACTTCGTCGGCGAGCCAAAGGCGAGGGAGCAGATTTTCTGTATGACTGCGACTGGAACAGCCAAGCCACACCTGAGGCATGAAGCAACGACAAGCGTACGGCGAGGGGTGCGTTACGTGATATTGCAAAATTATACGTCTTTACCCAATCTTTGTTTGTCTCAAGTATCGAATCGGCTTCAGTGCTGTCGCTTATGGCTGCAGCTTGACTAACTGAATGTCACTGGCCGCTTCAGTTCTGGAAGGAAGTTGCCCTCGCTGTCAATTTTCTCTCGATAACGTTTTCCCTCACCCTGTGTAGTACTTCGACGCAATGCAGTCTGCTGCTTCTTAGTCTACTGCAGGAATCGAAACGCGACAGAGTCTGAAGTTACCCGGCTAGAACACGGTGCTAACACATCTTCCTCTATCAGTATGCTATATTATTCTGGAGCTAGGCCAAGCGTTGACAACTAAATTCGACGAACCTTCTACGAGAGCTGTGTAGCGCAGCTGTATTGCTTAGAAGGTTCAGCGAGTGTATCTGGGCTGATCACCAGAAACGCGCTTAGATAGTGTATCTCAGGAAGCTTTCGTCTGCGAGCCATTGTGTGACTGACGTCTATATGAACGCGATCTAAAAAAAAAATTCGAAAAAAAAATCGTTGCTCATATAGCTGGGAGACACAAAAGCATTTACTTTACTTCTCAGAAGATCAGTTTGTTAACTTGTTGTTGCTGCGGCAGAAAAAAGAAGGGCCAAGGCTCATTCTAAGCCCCAGGTCAATCGGTCAGAGTCAAGGCTGTCTTAAACGTTACCACCACAGAAAACCCAGCAGGAGCTGTCTGACCCAACAGCAAAGCTAAAGTCACCGGCAGCAAGTGAGGGCGCATTACAGGCAAATGATAAACGCGGAAATCTCGTCTGGTCAAAGCCGTATGCGCACTGATAAAAGTGACAGTGAATTTAGGGCTGGCGAGGGCATCTGTCGTGCAACAAGCAACGTATAGGCATTGAGGGGACGTGATTTCGTAGAAAGTGAATTGCTGTTGCTGTCATTCCTTACCCTTGAGCTTTTTCTGCTGTTCCTTAACATCTCCTACGTCGGACCAAAACGTTATAGACGCATGTCTCAGCTTTGTCGTTCGTTGACGTTCTACCGAAGCGAATAGAAGCACTTGGCGCCTTTTTATTCGAGTTTACCTTCCTGTTACACCTTTCAGCAACCGTTATCGTTTGCTTGCAGCGATTTCCGGTAAACTTCTTTTGTTTCATTCCAACAAAAGATTGGCCACTATCACGAGTATCGAGCTTTAGGTCTTTCTCACATCTAGATACAGTTGAGCACATCGTTTCGAACATACCTTACCTCTGTAGATCTCAGCGGGTATTCGCCGCTGTCGCTTGCTGTTTACCCAACTACAGACTCCACTTCCCCTTCTGCTCATTTGTTCGGACTTCGCCGTTGGGTTTTGTGTGCAAAACTGAGGTAACGGAGCGAACGAAAAAGCCAGCACCGTTTTTGCTGCTCAAACGACCACCAGTCGGGCCTTCTCGCGACAGAGCTTTGCCGCTGAAGAAATAACTCACTTGGTGCACCGTTTACTTCGCTTCTCGTCGTCTAGTCGCGGGACTTGTCGCTCCCTGCTAGCAACGGCAACAGCAGCTGTAACAGTAGACTCCTCTAGCGAAAGCTGCTCCGACGTTGTTTCCGATTCGGGTCCAGCAAACGCAACGCTGACTGCGCTGCGTGTTGGGTTTTTTTTAGCGTTTCTAGCGTTTTCGGGTCCCCAGGTCACTCTTGTCAGTAGTTTTCGCCTTCTTCGCAGTGGTGGCGCTGCTGCAAAAATACTTCTGCAGCAGCTACTTCTGCCTGCGTTCCTGTAGAGTTTTGGCATCGGCTGCAGTGGCGGCAGCGGCGGTGACTGCTACAACCATCTTTTCTGCTGCTGCTGCTGCTGCTGCTGCTGCTGCATGCACTGCCGTGGTAACGGAACAGCAGGAGTTCTAGCTGCAGGACATTACTACAGGGCAACTACAGCATCTGTTTGGCAGGGACTTGCGTCTAGCGGTTGCTCAACGGCAGCAACAATCGAATTTGAACGGCACACTAAAACCATACGGAAACCGTGCTGGTTTATTACCGATGTGTGAAGATCTACGCGACGGTGTACGTTTGTGAGACAATTGCAAGTTGGGCGACAACGAACATATCTGTTTCGTAAACTTGATATTTTCTAGCATACAAATCTTTGAGGTTTGATATTTGGATCTTGTCAGGACTTGACAGGAAACCTCAGTATGGATGATATGCAGCTGATTGGCTTTCCGGAAGGCCGTTACGTGTTCGAACGGGATCCCCGCGTAAGTGAATGGGTATCCGCTCAGCCATGGACCCTTATATCAATTGTTGCCTCCTATCTTTATATGGTCTACATATGGGGGCCTAAGTTCATGAGGGACCGTAAGCCGTACGAGCTCACCACACTTACGCGCCTTTATAACATATTTCAGGTAAGTGCAGTAACAAACAATAAACGCAAAAAAATTACATATCTAGGTAAAAAAAAATCAAAGCTTTAGGTGTTTTTTTCAATTTTTGTGCACAACAACCTAATGAATCACTTTACATATTGTATAACCAGCTGTCCCATTGTTGTGTAGAAATGACTATTATTAATGCGTGTAGTCTTGCGATCCGTACTTCGTCATAGATGAAAACGACAATTGTGTAAAACTCAATTACTCTAAAAACATTACTTTGGTGCATCTTTGACGTTTGTCAGAAACACGATTTGCAGCAACACAGTTGTCACACACCACCGTAGAAGTCTGTTGTCAAGCTCTAGTCGAGCAATGTCTGCAACTTCACGCCTTTCATTCGAGTATTGATAAGTTGATAAATTAAAAAAAATTTCACAGTTTTCTACGTGCATGCAACGCGGCTTTTTTATGTTTACAGTGTCAAACAATGTTGGTATTGAGGTGCAAACATAGGCAGTGGCTTCGTCTCTATTTAAGTACAAATAAATTTGTCACGCATCGCATACCGTAACCCGTTTCTGGCACGAGGTGGAACTATGAAAAGTGTGTGATGGCTGTAAATGCGTTGGTCAATAGAAGAATCTGGGTTTTTTTTTTCACTAGAACAGCTGGGAGTGTACAGCATGTTCAGTACCGTCCTTGTGTTATACATACTTAACCGTACTTAACCGTGGAAGTTTACCGTGTATCAAAAAAACAGCAATTATTGATGTTAATATTCAAGATTCACAAAAAATTGAAGGGTTTCACTGAAGTTGTTATATAACTGTGTGAGAATACCGCTGATGCGCTGCTCGTTACTTTCTGTAGTCAAGATGTATAACCGACACATGCCTGCTAAGCTTGCAATAGCTACACTTCTCAATAGCTTATAAACGATATTGTGGAACATCATCGTTGTTCCTGTTTCGTTCCACAAAAGAGTTCTAACTATTGATTGAGCTATAGCGGTTAGTACCATTATGGATTCATTATAAGCTTTCCTCGAAAACTTCTAGTTTCAAAATAGTTGTAATATGAAAATACCGTAAAATATACCTATTGACCAGGCTTCTACAGAGAGATACGACGCTTGCAAGAACCCCTGGAACCTCTCTTAAACTGAACTGATATAGGTAAAAATATTGCTAGAAGTATTGTCATATTGGTTTGCGCATCATTTCGATACGGAGCGACAAGTTGTTTTAACGCGGTCCTTTGTTTGCTCCCCAATAGGTGGCTGTACATTACAACGTTGCATTGTAGTGGAATTTTGATTAATGTACCAGCTATGGTAAAATGTGCGTTCGTCCCTCATCGATCCAGAATCCCCATCCTCAGTACATTGAATGCTATGTTAAGCTGTAAAAAGCCTTAGAGTAAAGGTCTACGACAGGGATTTAGTTATCACCTAACGTACGTAGTAGAAACGAATTTTAAGTTGAGTTTTATTTTGTTAAGCAATCAGCTGGAACAATGAGCCACTTCGTTTTCTAACTTAATATCTAAGGGGCAGGCCTCAATAGCACAATATGAGGTGCATAGATGAGGACCTTTGGCCCTCCATGGTTGAGCTGAACAATTTGTCTACAAGGAGAATTGAGCGATAGTTCCATGGCATAAAAAGCTCATTCAATAAATTGGTAAATTGATAATAATTGTTGCTATCTATCGTTGTCGAATTGACCGTTATAAACACGATATGTAGACTGTTATCGAAGTGGTAACTATGAAATTTGCGTATAATCATGCTAGTCATTCATTTTCTATGATGTACTTTATTCTCCATTTCTATTTAGGGAATTGATGTAGGTTAGGTTTGTGTATCGTGTTTTTTTCACTACCTTTCCTTGAGCAGAGCAAAGCTTTCATATAGTAGTGAAGCGAAAATTCAGGCCGACGGAGTAGCCTTTTATGAATTTCTATTCGAACAAGCACGTCCTAACCGAAAGACAGAATCTCACAGGATGGTTAGTTCTAGTAGGACTGATTTCCGCTCGTTGAGGAGGCTTGCTTAGCCGGCGAGGTTGGCCTATGTAGGAGACTTATATAGCGGAGTCGAAATTTGCTGAGCGGAAACTTCAGATCGCCCATACGGGCTCATCTTGTAAGAGTGTAAGGATTAGGAGAAAAGCTATATGGGTCATTAAAGATTTTACACGAACTAAATCAGCCTGTAGAGATGGCTAAAAGGACCTTGCAAAGAATGACCTGTAAATTAAACCACAGGCAATGAATTCTTTTTTGATGACTGAAGCATCAAGCTCGCTAGGCCGAGAATCATGCTTCGCATATCTTAAGATTTATCGCCGAATTTGAAGTGGCCCATATGCTGGTATAGGTATTGTATTGTTACATTATTTAGAAGCAGAACATTGTAACAATGCGTATACCGTTGTTTACAAGGGATTTGATCGAACAAAAACTGTTGTTTACGCCGACCGGTACCGTGGTATCTGTGATTGTGGTATAAAGAGTTATTTGAGATTTGATTAATAATATATGATTATGAATATCCGGGGCGTAGTGCGTAGAGGGACGATATTGGAGAGCCTTAACAACGTACTACAACCACATGACCGTTAGAATTTGCTTTGAAAGCAACAAGGATGATACAGTAGCATGTGTGTCTATCACATTTGTGTGCGCAATGCGAGGAATAGGGCTGTCAGGCATGGTAGTCCGTCCAGCTGCCTGTCAAGTAAATAATTTATACCGTTTCTGTTTCGACATCCACTGGCTCATGTAGCAAGCGTGGAAGGGACACTTTATAATTTAAAGGCTTTAGGCCAGTGCCGCTATTATGCGCTTGCCTGGTATAATTTTCTATTAACTGAGGTAAAAAAAAAAAGTATCTGTGTAAAGAATTGGAAGGTGCCTGAAGCATGTGTAACCTTGGTGTACTGACCAATCCACTTCCATTTCCTATCAGAATATTGTGGCGTCTTCATCGACCGAAAAACACATTCACACTTTGTGGATACCACAGAATTGACCTAGAGTATCCAAGTGGCTCTGACTCGTCTAATTGAGCTGACAGTATACTGTTGCCATTGAGCGTTCCGGTGCTCAAACAATCTTATATGACATCTAAGTTAATTTGAAAAGCTTTGAAAATTTACAAGAGTTAGAACTAGTTAAGTCTTTAAAGGTAATAGAAAGATTCGCCACTGTCATGTTTATTTACGTAATTGAGAAATACTAGGAAATTTATGAGCGATTCGTTGGTTGTTCTCTCAAACAAATGCCATATTTGAAAGCGTGGTTCACTAGCAGTATAAGCTGTTGTGTTTCTCACTCTGGTAATGTCAACCTCGCTACCGTATCGACTTCCCTACTCGATGTGAGGCTCACATATTAAGCGGGCTATCGTAATGTGTGTTTCAATAGGCTTTTAAATTAGCCTATATTGTTAAGTAAGTTATTTCGGAGTAAGGTTCGGGCATAATTTTTGGATGGCGTTAAATTCCCAAATCGTAATATATTTATGCTAACGCTTTTCACGCTGATCATAATTTTAATCAGTTTTGATAACCGTGCAAAATCTGTGCATTACAGCTGTTTTTCTTCTTGATTGACCCAGACTAAAGTGGCCGTAAGTTAACTGATTGACGGTACTTTATGTTAATCGAATGAATAGGGTTATAGATGGGGCAACATTGGGTTGCTCTCCTTAATTTCTCACATTTGCTCAATGCTCTGAAAATGTTTGTCTGCGTCTTTTGTGTGTGTATGTGTAGGCCGGAGTAACACCACCTATGCACAGTTCCCTATACGCGTATACTTGTAAAACGCATGCTTCTAGCATAGCTTTGACGAAAATAAGGAAAGTACGATAGTAGCTGGTCTGACTAGTCAGTATCATGTGTTATAGACGTCGCAGTATCTGCTTGATATAAAAAACTGTTCGATCCGGAACAGAGCAATGATGCAAAATGGCAAATTTGAATTTTAACAGTCACCTAGGAGGAAAAATTAGCCAGACAGATTAAGCGGAAACAATAATTGTCATACAAACTAAGAAAGCGACATCATTATAAGACATCTCTGAAGTAAACGCCAAGGTGGGAACGCGAATTATATGGGACAGTCGTCTTCTACATGAATTACATTATGTACATATGATCACATGAAGATATATCGTGACGCATATCGTAATGATCTGCGAGTACCACTCCTAAACAAAATGATGCTCTCTTACGACAGATTGAACGAGGGCAACGCATTGAAAACGGAACATCAAATCCTACGGATATATTAAATCCTATAGAAAATTAAACACAACAAAACAACGTTAATTTTTGACTAAACTTCTATAAAGGAAGCTGACACGGTGTCGAAACAATGGAGATAGTCTACTCTTCCGTAATTGAAGTTAATCTTTTGTTCTCTAATGAGAAATATATGGCCATGCATTTTTGCTGCAGGTGGTGGCCAGCTTAGGCTTTGCCATAAGGATTTGGACTCTCTTCTATGTCACAATGGGAAATTCACTTTTGTGTACACCTCCGGATCGTCGAACAGATCCGCTTGCTAAGAAGTTCATGTTCACAGTCTACTACTACTGGTAAGTAATCTACTAGTGAAATAGGACAATAGACATCTAGTTAAAATCACGTAGAACAAAGCAAAATGTTTAGTATATTAGGTTGCAAAAAAGCGTTAGAAAACACTTCTTCCAGTAAGTTACTATGCCCACTGTCATTCTTTATGACTTCTCATATTTTGGCCAGGTAATGTATACTGTCTCGCTAGAAGCTAGAAGGGCTTGTCTTGAATCGCTGAGTTGTTGATCCGTGCCCAAGAGCGGGCTACAAAGGTAACTGTCCAAGGTAGAAATCCGTTGACGTGCAACAAAACGGGGTGCAACAAAAACTCATTCACAATTCAGGAGAGCAGCTTTAATGATGTGTGCTACGTGTGGCCATGCATTGTCATACGGCAGGATAACCTGACCACGTCTCTCGGGTCTTTTTTCTTGAATAGCCAGGTCGACCGGATGCAACTGGGCCAAACAAAGGAATCGATCACTTATTTGATTCAGTCATTGCATCATGCATTCCGATCAAACGGACAGTTCACACTTCTCATTACGGGTGACAATGCTCTGCAACTATCGATTACTACGCCTACTGTTACGTGATGCATGCGAGTGAGATCTTGGGATGCAAAGTTAAGCCACAATTCCACATTGGATTCAGAGAGTTGATGATGCGCCCAAGCTCTAAATTTCTGTCTAAATATAAGAGACCTGAAGCAATTAACGGCTGCCGCCGATCTTTGCAGTCAACTGCCCAGTTGTTTGTCGGCCGTCGTATAGAATAATATGTAGTGTCTTGTAGAACCGCTTCAGATGGTTGTCAGCAGACTCAGGAGGTCAGCCAAAGCGGGGGCACCTGTGAAGTACAAGATACCGTTATCAAACTTGGCAAATTACTCCTAAGTAGTCTGTCTAGCGATAGCGCTGTAATGTAAACAAGGCAAATGCACCGGGTTGTTTTGACTCCGCGAAAATGTATAGTATCGAAAGTTTCGAGAGTGCAATTTTTTCTACCTGGAACATACGTCTTTTTTTTGTGAATTGAGATTGTACTTACAACGCACCATTGTGACAGTACACCGATAGGGCAAGAACGTTTTAAGGCGGTATATAGAGTGAACAAACGAGAGGAGGTAGAAAAAAGAAGTTTTCGAAAAGAACCCCAGAAACTTACTGCCCTTCGTAACGGATACTGAAAGTAGCACAATGATCCTGTAGAGAAGGACTCTAGCCGGTTTTGGCTTTGGTTCTAACGTACTTTTTAATTTTCTTACTACATATATTGTAAAATTTGAATTTCTGAGAGCAGACGTATAGCTCTTCCTGTAAAATATATCTAAGGCTAAATTTATGCATATCTGTTAGCAGATACATTAATGTTTGACCACTAGCTGATCTTGTTCCGTTTCGCACCTGTTCAATATGTATGCCGCTGCCCATTCGATTCGCCACCTGTTGCACTCAGCTGAAAGAAAAAAACCACAAAGTAAATTGACGCTGAGCAGATTTTTAATATCTTCGTAGTGGCGTCTGATTGGCATACATGCCGTTACGCTTAGATGCGATGCAGATATCCTTCGATAACTGTGCAAAACAAGTTCACTGCTACCTGTTTTATCATGTCGTTAATTCTAGCTTCCCTAATAATGAATTACTTATGTTATTCGTATTTATATCGTTATTTTTTCGAGAACTTACATAATTTCAAGCATATTCATCTTCTTATAACTTTTGCCGCTTAGCTAGCTTTGGATATAACAATCAATTATCTTCTAATGTAATGCTTGCTTGAGCACTCCATTTCAGTCTCGGTACACTTGCTTATGTATACATGCGCAGGGCCAAAGGTTACATGGTCTAACAGAAGGAGGATTAACCAAGTCAGACATAATATATAAAAGTTGAGCGAAATGCTGTTGCTATCATGTATCTTAGAGTTAGGGGATACCACGTTTCTGCTTACTTTCGCCCACAATAACCTATTTACAGGCGAGGTTAACGTTGAAACGCCATAAGGGTCTCATGACAAAGTTTGAAATAGGCGGTCTGCTGGCACGGTAAAGAAAACTGTCACTAGATACATAGGCATGATGAAGTTCCTAAACATCTCAGTCCATGCTATTTTTGTTTTCTCCTTTCAGGTGGCTACGAGTCATTGACTTCGCTGACACCCTGTTCTTCGTCTTGCGTAAACGCCAACGCCAAATCACGTTCTTGCACGTGTTCCACCACGTTGTCGTTGTAGCAGCTGCTTGGGGATCCGCTTATTTCGGTCTAACCAATCTTCTGATATTCACGCTCTGTCTCAACTCGGTCGTTCACTCCGTGATGTACTCGTACTATTTCTTATCGACCCTTGGCCCGGCAGTCCAGCCATATCTTTGGTGGAAACGTCATTTGACCAAACTACAGATTCTGCAATTTTTCATTATGATGGCTCATTTGTCAATTCCCATCTGGAAAAGCTGTGGTTATCCACCCGCCATTGTCTACGGATGGATGGGAGCGGTTGGAGCCATTCTCTTACTTTTCGTCAACTTTTACATCCAAAGTTACAGAATTCAACGAAAGCAAGCGAAGGACGTGCAGAAGGCTGGTAAGTTGACCAATGGACTAATGGCGGCGAATGGCGACGCTGCGCTCCAGCAGCACGAAAAGCCCCACTAACCGGATCTCGTGGTGAGTCAAGTCGATAAGGGCTCCGAAATGTCCGCCACCTCTTTAAAAATGCTACACTGAAATGGCGTCTGATCGCATAAGATCCAAAAATGTATACCATGTAAATCCCTAGCTACAAGGTGGGGGTATTAAACTGTACTACAAATTTTGTCGAAGCTTAGCAGAGTTAAACAGAAAAACTTCGTTAACTACGACCGCCGGGTCATACAATGCTGCGTTGTTACATCAACAAAATTAAGATACGTTATTAAACACAGCTTGATGACTGTTTAATTTAGTGGAAGCTGAAATTGTTGAATTTTAAAAACGTTATATTATCTTCGTTCAAGCGCTATTGACCGAGTTTTTTTGATGCGGTGATACAACTAGGATCGACCATACATCGTTAGCACATATAGAAATTGCACGATGTCTACACAGTTGAAACGATGACGGATCGGTTCACGAACGTTCGCATGTCTTTGGTCCAAAGTAAAAAAATATTTGGCCGCTTAGAAAAGGGTATATGCCATCAAAACGATTCTTTAATTTGAAGTGCTCAACACTATAGTAAAGGTACAGTGAAACACGTAACAGGCAAAAACAAATTTCCTACGCAATTCAACCGCCTTCTTCTATTACCTCTCTAGAATTGAGCATTTTGACTTTGTACGGAAAAATTCATGTAGCTAGGCTAGGAGAGCTTTGCGGCTAGCGAACTTTAGCAATAGTGTATAGTAAGGGTCGCATTCGCGCTCTCAGTGACACTCGTCTAAAGGTAACAAGTGATTGTGCTTGGCGGATAACCATTTCCTCACTGTATATGTATAAAGCATTATATTCTGCATGTCATACAGAGTATAGAAAACAGGATGATAAGTCTATACTGGCCGACCGTCACTCAGTACTCGTTGTACTATGTAGCACCGTCCCTCGAGGTCATTGTGAGGCCGTGCTTGATAACAGCTTCTGTTTTGTCAAAAGTGTGTTCAGGCTTATTACAGGGTGAAATGACCCTTCACCTGTGAATTGCTCGCTACAACGTCCTCTGTAGGTTGAATTAATGTTGTAAATGATTTCGGGAACGTTTTCTATTCGAGTTCTAAAGGAAGATGCTCCTCAAATAATTTCATCACTCAGCACTGAGTATTTAGCTGCCCGTGTTTTAAGCAGGTTAAATTCTTTACGTTCATCTGCAGTGACATTTGGTGGCAGATGAGGGCTGATACTTCGTCCTGGAACGGTATAAGCAAAAGGTAATAAAAGAAGCTAACTTGTTCACACTGATAGTAGTGCATATTTTGATCGGCGATCATGAAATATTGTACATATATATATATATATATATATATGTATGTATACATATATATATATATATTAGTGCCGTACATCTATATAAGAAAATAAAGTTCACACGATTTAGCGGTCGTGGCGTAGATCTATCTCGTGTTTTTTTGGCCTAATAAAAGATGTTTTCGAACGTAAATGGCGCCGCAGTCAGCGTAGCGCGGGCGCGTACGCGTTTTTTGCTGTGCGTTTCAGTTGCTTAATAACGAAAAGATTATAAAACTAGTTTATGTGAGACCATAAGCTGATAAGTGAAGTAGAACGCGGACGTACTCATCTTTGAGTAGTGAAACAGCTGAGTGGATATAGGTCGAGTGTTCTGGTGATTCTGGCATGTTAACTCTAAAATACTCCTTGTTTGATTATAGTATTTCTTTCGCGAAGATAAATTTTGATGGGAGGCGGTTAATGCAGCTATACACACATCGTTTCTGGAGTCCGCTGCATGTAGGGCAAGATCACATTTGAGCTTTTAAGCTGCTTGTAGAAATGAACTGATGAAACGATCAGTAGAAGGCAAACAGCCTGTTGTGACCAGGATCATCGAACCGCATTAAATGTTCGTCGTTTAAACAGGCTATAATTAAGTGGTGCCAGCTTTTACGTCTGTCTTGTTCTACTCGCTGAAGCCTCGGAAGATGTCCCCACTTAACCAACAGGTGATATGCAGTAAGGACTATGCAATGCATTTTTGTTGTATTTCGTTTAATCCTACCTTGCTGATATCAGTGCTGCATCGACTATTCCTGCAATATAAACTACTTTTTATAGGTTTGGTCTCAGTGCTCTCCGAGGACCTTAAGATTTCTCTAATTATTTAGCAAAGTCGCCTAAAAAAAGTTGCATTTGCGCCCGTAACATCTCCAATCATAAAACGTCACTAGCTAAATACAAGAGAGAAATCAAATCTCTTTTTTTTTCTAAATTTTTATTTATCTTTATATATTTATTATCCGGTTCCGTGGACTAAACTTCGTTTATTCGATAAAAAAACTTGCAGGCCGACTATGGGTTGGCGAACAATTTTTTCAATTTTAGCAAATTGTTTGGGTAGGTCTTGTGATCTTTTGCGCAAGGAACACCCGAAGTGGAATCGATAGGCTTAATTATAAGTGGCGCGCTTTCATAGGTGCTGATGTGGTACCTAGTTTAAGTTTAGCCACAAACGTCGGTCGCGAAATTTAGTATCACGTAGGCACTGGGTCTCGATCTGGTGATTATCTGAAATTAATGAACAAAATCAATGTGTCTATTAACACAGCTACGTATACTTAGGCTGATACTCAATGGTGGCTTGTACTCTACATAAGGATGAATAGCGTGCCGGAATCGATGTAGATTTTGCCTGCAGCGTTTTCCGTAACATGTGAATGGTAACACACTATTATGACGATAATTAACTAACGCAACTTCACTTACTATCGTGTATAGCAGAGCCCTTGGCTAATTAAGTCTCTTTCACGTGTAATACTTACGCAACTTGATTTAAAAAGTTGTTAGATGTCCCCAATTGGATTTCTTTCAATGATAAAATATAGCTAATTAGTGCAGAAAAAAAAAACAGCGGGTGCAGTAGAGGTCTTGTGTAAACGAGAGGTGGTAAGCCGTTGTGGTACGTATACAGGGCTTGAACTGCATACACTTCGATGGAATTGTCAAACTGGAACGGCCAAGAGGGTATAATCACACTTTTCGCAGTGACCTGACAAGAACATTTTAAAAAGAGAAACCAGCGCGAGTATGAGCTTATTCCATGTTTGAGTAACAATAATCCAGAATGCGTTATGTTATTTGCGATCTTTTTTGGCCAGGGAAAACCTAACTCAGCTCAGTAATGCTATCATCGTCGGGAATGTAGCAACACGTTGGCATTGCTAAACAAACAAAAAAACACCCTATAGATCATAGATTATAATAACAAGAGCATAAGCTCAGCCCGTGCAGGGTTCGTATATCGTACTAGGGCACATTTGCATTCAAAAAGTATATATGCTCCGGGTTCTGTAATCCATTATTCGGTCTACGGCGGACTAGGCTTACAAGGTTAACAGTTAGTAGTGATGATGATTGATGTTACTTATATTTGTACTTACGATGTTCGTAGATGTTCACCGTAGTTGTAACGTCGTTTGTATATATAATAGGGGGATTCCTTAATGGGAGAACTGAGTGAAAAATTCTGCTTTTTAGGATACTAAAAGTCATGTGTCATAGTAAGTGTGCAGTGCTGCAAATATCATTTAGACAAATACAAAAACACTGAGTACTTAGAGGTGCCTTGTATGTGCCATTGAAAAGAGATTTATGTAAGTTTCAATACTTACGGATCAAGCAACACGCGCTTCTGCTCTACCCTGTGTATTATATTATAATATTAATAATTATACACTATATTCTAATGGTTTCATAACGTTCGAAAGTTTAAACTTTGACGTATTTCAGAGCTGCAATTCGGCGACGGCTATTTTCGACTTAGTTCTTTCAGTGTTCGGCTTATGACTACTAGGTAAGCTTCTTTTCTCTCTTCACTTCGATCGTTCTTCGATAAGGCATTGCTTTGGTGCGCTAAAAGTAGTTACACCGAGCGCCTCATTAACTACCGAGACATTTTACCACGGCGGTTTATATGGCTAAATTTGTGCTTGGGGAAGCTAGGGGTCGGTGGTTCACTGTCCGGCAATGACGATCAAGATCGTTCCATGTCATGCATTATCAATGAGAAAGGGATTCAGGATCATTCCAGGGTTGTCTGAGTATTGCCCAGAACGAACTACCCATTGCCACGAAGGACTCGTACCAAACAGAGAACCTAAAATTTCAAAAAAGAAACGTTACTTTAGCCTACAGCTAGTTAAAAAAAGAATTGAAACTTCGTCTGAATAGATGGCACTAATTTAGACATAGAAATATTTATTTAAATACATTTACACAAAAGAACTGCTGTACGCGAATAGATTTCACCATTCTATTAACAAGAAAAAAATAGGTCCGAAGCTAGAGCCGTCATCGTTTTATGCCTTGGGTGTCTCACCAACAAGATTGCTATCTACAATAGAAACAGCAACGTGTGGCTATTCCGATTCGAATATAATAGGTACCTTTATCATTACCTTATCAAACATGAGAGGAAAACAAGCGTTTGAATTATTAGGTAAAGTCGTCTGGCGAAAAGTCCTGTGTCAAACGTAGTGTTAAAGATCCCTTAAAGAAATGTTTATTTATAGAAAAGTAATTTTACGGGAACATAATTATCGTCTCGCACCTAAATCTCAACTTTTACTTGCGTGGTAGTCAAGACATTCTGCGTAGCCAGAAGCTTAATAATGCACTTTGCCCTGCATCCTCAAAACAATCCACTCTTGTGCAGCGATAGACAAATTCTGAACCGTTCAACGTGAAGCGCTTCAACTTGTAGTACTGTCATAAGCGGACATTACGGCAACATTACGATTACTTAAGTAAATATAACGCGTTTTGTGATATGAGCTTATTGTTTGTCTGCTTTTTTTCGATAATGTAGCATAAATAAACTGTTCTACAAGTAAAGACATCTTTAATTCAATTTGTCCTTATTTACGTGATAAATCCGTCAACATTAAACGTGACCTCCTCGAACCAAACACGAGTAAAAAAGCTTAGAACAAATGCAGTCTGGTCGGAAATTCTGATTGTGGCTGATAATTGGAGAGTGGTCAGTCATGTAAATTTTAATATGAATAGCATATCTTTGCTGGTACAAGGCATCGAGCGATAATTTTTACGCGGACGATGACGTCGTTGCAAGAGAGTCAGCTTTCGAAGGCTTGGAACCAAGTTGAATGAATGAAGCACTGAAGATAGCATAAAAGCCATACAAGGAACGATGTCAGGAACACTATACTACTACTATACTACGCCATAAGAAACTTTACATTTAAATGACTGTGGCTAGTTCGATAGTGCTTGATAATAAAAAGATGTTGGAGAACAGTAATCCAAGATTCATCTTAAGGTTACTACAAGCGAGGCTGGTACAGATAAGGAAACGTCTCCCAACTTATGGCAATGGTAACGTAAGTGACCGGTTAATAAGTGAACATTTTTTGAATGGTATAATACGTATGTTCGGACCCAAATGTTCGGATGAGGCTAACGGTATCAACTTGTTACCTCGATGCACCCGTTAACTTGTGATGTAATGCTCACACTGTGTAAATTATACTTTTTTCAACTTTAAATACGAACTTAGACGGTAATCAAAAATAACTCTTTCACCGTAGACAGTGCACCAAAATACGTTACTGCTCCACTGTAAAAGAAAACTGTTCGCAATACAAAGCCAAAAACACTCAGCAAGAATTCTGTGGTCGAAAAATGGCATACTTTCGCAATGCCTCAAAATGCCGTCTAATGCTAATCTGTCTCTCGTAACCTTGAATAGCAGCAGAGGTAAATACCCATAGTCCGGGGTATTTACCTCTGCCTGCGCTTATCATCACTATCGTATATGAGCTAATTTAACCTTTCCCATTCATTTCAGAACGGGATCAGTTTATAGGTTGACGCGTAGGCCGAGTTATTTCGCACGACTATTTACCAATGTGTTTAGATGAAAGTGAAGCTTCGGCATATACAGTTGAGGGTTTTACTATTGTACGAAGCAGGTAGAGACAATGCTCGGCTAAACTTACTTGTACCTGTAGCAATCAAATATTCGTGCCTATATATAGCTAGTATTTCAACATCCAAAGAGAGGGCTTATCAATGAAGCTCGAACGTTAGAACGGCGCTGTACTGACGGGGCTTCGTCGCTGTACAGAGAGAATACGTTGCACTGGCATTAGTTTGTACTTCATGAAAACGAGCATCAGCAGTTATTAGCCCTATAGCATTTCTATCGAAGCCAAGCGACAGGAGCTTCTCGTTCGTTGCGTTCCACCCGTGTGGGACGCGTCGGTGCGATCGGATAAATTGATCCAAAGAGGTTCGTTTCGCCCTTTGACAGGACCAAATGTACAGGAATGTCTGCCATTTGTTTTCATTCAAGTTTTTCAGTAGCTATTTTCTGGCATCGTCGGGTCGACGCACGTCGTCGCGTCCTGCTTGTACAGA